TGTACCTCTTCGGGCTCTTGCATACCTTTTTCTCGTCAGATGTGTGCGTGTTCTTTAGATCCTCAGATGGCTCTAGCACTTTCGTGACCACGGGCTGAGAGTCTTTTGCTAGATTTTGGCATTTAGCAACTGACATACGGTTTAATGTGAAGACAAACAACAACATTGACGAAGATAGACCGCATTTTGTCCAAATCACGCTTACATTTCTGAACAGAGAGTGTTTTTTTTTCTTTGTTGCGCCTGTTGTTCTGAATTGATAACGCAATCGGAACCTTTGGAAACCCATTTTTGAAAATTGAACACGGTGCGATGCGTGATGCTGGTCGAGCACCGCGCTTTGCAGCTGTGCATATGTGGAACTCACATGCACCGTTGACCTATAGTAGTGCCTACGGCTACATGCACACATGGTTACTCAAAGGAAGGGTCGCTATGTTGCGACCGGCGTGACAGCCAAAAGGAAGGCCAGGACGGAGAAAGCGAACTTGACCAACATTCTGCGAGCAAAGGAGGCGGCTCTCGCTGCCCGCGAAGTAGCTGTCGCTGCTCGCGAGGCCGCGGTGTCAGAGGCAGAGGAGGCGGCGAATTAAAAGAAACAGCAGCAAGAACCCGATGTGGACACCCGCACGCCCCAGGAAGAGGCTCGGGAGGAAGATGCTGCCAAGCAGCGTGACGTCTTGGCCCACAGGACAGGCTCGCTTCTGGACAAATCGCACTCTCGCATCATTCTCCTCACGTACTTCGAGCTCGTGCAGGCAGGCGTCGAGCCCAACAAGGCTAGTCACAGGACCGCCTCAACTCTTCGCGTGGGCAAGGACAAGGTGTTCAAGGTAGATCTCTGCAATAACTGCTGCTGCCGTTTACACTGCCCTTACAGTGAGCTCATTATCATGAGCCGCGCAGCGCGAATCGCGACCTTTTTTCCCTTCATCGCCCAGGTGGGAAAAAAGGCTCTAAATATGCCTGAGTTACCGCGTGTTGCAGGGGCCCAAAGTGTGATTTTCGTGATGCACATTTATCGCACCTTTGGACCAGAACGAGACCTATAGGGCATCGTTTGACGGTCTGTTCACTTCTGAGGAAGAAGAAAAAATACGCGCTCTCCGTCACACCGAATCAGTCGTGCTTCGGCAACAGATGGCCGCGCTTCACAGGTATATATGCATATGTGTGACCCAAATTCGTAGGAGATCGCGTCCCGGACAGCCCAGGAGTTGTGGAGAGGTAAAATGCCCAAGCTATCGGAGATTGCACACTGCACACACACACAGACATGCGGTCGAGTTCAAACCCCGGGAGGGCAACACCACATCAGCAGAAGGAGAGCAACAGGACGCTGGTCCGAGACCAGCTGTCTATGATAACCAGGAGGGGCCCGGCCTATACGAACTGTGCGTCGTGGGTACAGTAGGGGGCCCTCGATAGTGCCGGTATGTGTTCAGAGAGCAAAGCGGCACTATACCGGGCACCGGCACTATTCAGATTACAGAAAGACTTGATCTTCCGGTGTGTGCGAGCCGAAAACACCGGAACTATACCGGCAACCGGCACTATTCAACCGGCACTATATCGGGCCACCCACTGTATGGTCATGCGCCGTGTGTAACCTGGACGGTGCTTACTGGTGTTGAGGGGTCCAACCGAGTGCTCCCAAAACAATGAACAACAGACCGATTATTATATCACAAACGAGTAACACACAACATAGCAAACCTTCCAAGTCCAGAGATCGCACCTACCATCCAGAGAATCTGTCGAGAGCGTGAGGGCCTACTGCTTCTGTGCGTCATCGGGATGGTTCATCGCGGGGTCGGTTCGCGATCAATGTAGACTTCTTTCGAACCCCGGTTTTACTTTTGTTAAGATGTACAGCATATCCACTATGCTACAAGTCAGCGCTGACTTGTAGCAAAGTGGATATGCTGTACGTCTTAACGCTGCTTGCTTTCGCTTGGCTGGAAACTCGGAAGGCTTGAGACGAAGGTGGGGGACAAGGTGTGAGCCTGACGCAATATTTGCCATTTGTCTTGTCACAATCCTAAGTCTACGCTGCTGGTCGTGCTCCTCGACCACATGATGTGTGATACGCTCGCCGCCAGGTACATGCCGCATGCGTGCCTCTCTTCCAGATGCCCTGATGGTGTGCGTGTTTTTTCGTCCGCACAGCGGCAAGACTTCACATTTTGTTTCTTCGTGTCTTCGTGGGGTGTGTTGCATGTGCATCAACGNGTCTTAACGCTGCTTGCTTTCGCTTGGCTGGAAACTCGGAAGGCTTGAGACGAAGGTGGGGGACAAGGTGTGAGCCTGACGCAATATTTGCCATTTGTCTTGTCACAATCCTAAGTCTACGCTGCTGGTCGTGCTCCTCGACCACATGATGTGTGATACGCTCGCCGCCAGGTACATGCCGCATGCGTGCCTCTCTTCCAGATGCCCTTATGATGATGTGCGTGTCGTTGCGTCCGCACAGCGGGAAGACTTGACATTTTGTTTCTTCGTGTCTTCGTGGGGTGTGTTGCATGTGCATCAACGGAAAAGAAACAACCGCATGGCAAGTGCAACCTTTTGAACGGGGCCGCACATACAACCTCGTCGCACCGGTCGCACGCCTGCTGTGTGTGGTGCACACGCATAGCTGCACCGCAAACGATTCACGCTGCTGTGTGTCGGGATTCGTGCACCATCGGCATCGCAGTTGAGACTACTGCAAGGTATTGAGTCGCTACCCGGCGGCTCATTACCCCGCCCCATCTAGTAACTACTGCTGGAGAAACTGCCGCGATTTACGATTTAGAGTACTGCTTCTGCTGTAATTTTTTTTTTTTGAAATTTGAAATTTCGATTGGATGTGTGCGCGACTACTGTACATGTGTACAGCAGTAGTCGTGTGCCTGTGCGATTCTCACTGCATGTATTGTGTGTTTCGTCTGCCGCATCGAGCAGGTTCGCATTCATTGGTGGGAGATTGGAGAATTGTTGACGTCATCAGGGGCAGGGGGGGGGGTGTCTAGATGATAGTACCTTCGGACGAGCATCGATTGGGAAGTGGGGGGACAGAGCGTTTCCTCTGCTGCTTCGAGGAGACTCTGCGACGGACCGCGGGTTTGGAGAGTACAGTACAGCAGTAGACATCTGAGCGGGCGCCTGGTGAGGCTGGTCATTGCCTTGTGTGCTTTGGATACCATCGTGAATATATTTACGTGTAGTCGTACGTCATCACAGGTTTTCGTCCGTGACGTACAGTAGCGTGGTGATGCTTTGAACCCGATCTAGACTGCAGTCTAAATATATATATATATATTTTTTCTCCCATCATTGGACTCTGTCGTCTGCCCCTCTGGCCCCTATCCTCCACTTCTACTAGGTAGACGACCCAACCGGGGTCACATCGGAGGGGGGGGGCTGGACCCCCTCCTGCGGTTCCTGCCTGAGGTATTTTTATCGCGAGAAGGGTACATCAATCCCTTCCCTCGCGACTTACGAAGTCGATTATGGTTTACTAACAACGAGCTTTGCAGCGCGTCGCTTTCATCCTAGACCAGGATTTGTTTAGTGAGAAAAAACTCAATCTGCCGGGACTCGAATCCATGACCTGGCCCTCAGCAGGCTGCGAGGTTACCCACTAGACCACCGGGGCAGTCTCTATAGATGTGCGAAGCAAAGCGCAAGAAGGTCTGTGCCATGTGTGTGACTACACAGGTTGGCTGTAAGTCCGTCGGACCGTCCGAAGGCAGCGCGCAGCAGCAACGAATGTGCCGTTAGCGTCGAAGATGGTCTGACACCGTTCTCAACGATTTGTTGTTGGAGGCGGATTGCAGCACCTTGGCGCTGGCGTACATGGATATGGCATGGTGAGTGCAAAGCGGGAGCGACTTGTCACAAGAGTGTGTCGCGTGTCATGTGGTGAGGCCGTACTCAAGGACATGAATGTTTCTTAGGGTTCGCGGCACCGAAAACTTTTTTTAATTGCGACACGGCGATTCCAACACAAAAAGAAAGAACGCCATTCTCCCTGCTCCGTTCCTCAACGCGGCATGTTCACGTCATGTGAGAAGCGGCGGTCTTCAGTGCAAGGTCATGCCAACAAGGGCATCATCATGCTGCAAGCTTGCTCCTGCCACCGCTTTCAACGGTGCAGCCGTTCCAAGTTCATGGTGCACTTCCGGCTGGACACGTAACCGCATCCTAGTATGCGTACGTTCTGACAAATCACAAAGGCGGGCAAATCACAAAATCCGTAGCGCTAGTCCACCGGGTACCTACACACGTCGTGCATCTTTGTTACGCCATATCTACCCTGGGCTACAGTCTACACGGTTCGGTGAACGTTTGACGCACCACCCCTAACCGCACAGACGGAAGGTAAACAAGCACGTTTTGCTCCCTCCACCTTCAATTCATCACTCCGCTTCAAGGGCTCAGCGTCGCTTCCCTCTGTGTTCACTCACGACCATGCGCTTTCCACACCACACCTCATTTTGTGACTTCAAGAACTCCAGAGAGAATCGAATGTACAACCTCGAGAGTCATAATGCCTGCGAGGAAACCATCTGAACCACCGAGGTGACCGGAGAGTTGTACTTGAGACAATTTTCGATAACTTGGAGGCCAACATGCCGGCAGCGTTTCTCGCTTCCGTAGGCCGGCGCGCTAGTCAGTCTGACAGAAATACATAAACATGATCATACCCGTCGCATTGCTCAAGCTATCATAGAACACACTCAATATCTTTATCTTGACTTCCTTCTTCACTGCCTTGACGTCTTGACCGTCTTGACCGGTGATCCGCGTCCGTGACTTGCTTCAGTCCGACCTACCCTCGCCCCCTGCCACCACCGCCCCTCCCCCCGCCGCGCCCCCGCCCGCCATCCCTGCCTCCCCCGCCCCGTCCCCGCCCCCCCCTGGCGCCTCCGCGCCCTCCGCCTCCCCCTTGCTCGCCGGCCTTGCTAGGCCTCTCTTTGTTGATAAAGTCCTGCTTCTTGCCCTCAAATCCAGCGCGCCTCTGGCGCTGTGTAAGTAAATGATAATGTCGCCGCACACATAGAGGGAGCCGTGGGGTACCGATCGAGCTCGTGTTAACCGCGAAAATATGGTACGGAACATGGAATACCGTACGATAGACAAAGTCGCCGATGCCCTTGCCGCGTCCCTGGGGACAACATTAGAGCCATCCTTGTCCACAACGCCGAGGGTATCGAGTCTATCTTCCTATGAACGGTGTCATACAAACCCTTTCAACCGCTCCTCTGGTTGGTGAGGACATCGGGCGCCAACCTCGTTCCAGTTGCACGGGGTGCCTTCGCTATGCCCAAATCACACATCGCACGCCCAATCAACACTGGAGGTGCCAGCCAACGATTCAACCTCTCACGACCGCCTGTTTCTCACCTTGCTACCTAGACCCGGAGCGGCATCCCCCCCCGCTGCCGCCTTGTCGGTATCCCCCACCGCGGGGCCTCCCTTCTTCCTCCTGTTGAGGTTCTCCTCACGCTTGTCCTGCCTCTTGGCCTGCTCTTTCCTCTGCCCCGACAACCTGTTGTCCCACTTGGCGGCGCTCTTCGCCTTCTCCTTCTCCTTGCGCTTGATCATCTTCTTCAGGGCAGCCGGGTTGTCCTTGATCTCGGCCCCTCCGGCCGCGCGGATGGCGTCCGACCACCCCTCTTCCTTCGCCTTCTCCTTGCCCTCCTCCGTTTGACGGAGCCCCGCAAGCCGCTGCTTCTTCTCCTCCGCGGCAGCCAGCAGGCCGTGCAGGCGCTTCATCTTGCTACCCGGAGCGCCCACCTTCGGCAAACCGTGCTTTCCGCGGTTGCCGCTGCCGTCGCCAACGACCCCCCGCAGCCCGGAGAACTGCTCGTGCCCCCCGGTCACCGTTCCAGTTTCATGCATTTCGTTTCAGAAAAAAAGTTGAATGTATGTGTGCGTGGTTCAGGGGGGGGGAGAAAGAGAGCACGCTGCATTGGTGCACAAGGAATGAGACAGGCAGCGTAAAGTAGAATCTGCAGGTACAGTGGAACCGCCACATTTTGGGACTGCGAGAGTTACTTCGGTGGCAACCCTGGACAGCACACTGACCTACGACCCTGAACAGCAAGCTTGAGCCATGATTAATTAATGATAGGTAGGCCACCGTTTGCGACCGCGAGCACCACTAGTATACCCTGGCAAAATGATCTAGGCAGCCCCTCGTCAAATTTGAGTTTCGCTTGATTAACGCCCCCAGGGCTCTGCGGCCGCAATATGCAGGTGATCTTACCTCGATGTCTCCGACATCTTCCACGGTTGGCAGAGGGGGAAGCTGCGGCTTTGCAACGGGTGCATGCGAGCCGTTGGCTTTAACCTTGACTCCCTTGGCCTTCCCTTCAACGGCCCCGTCTGCGGCTGTCAGGGCGTACGTTTGCGGCGATGGAAGAGAGGAACAACACTTAGCATGGCATTCGCAAAGCAACAAAGCATTGACCAAACGAATGCGGCGAATAAATCCGTTGTCCATGTTTATTGCTGGCATTTGTTTGGGGTCGCCAAGCCCGGAGTCTGGTTGCGGGAAAGGCGTGTGCCGTCAGAACACTGTCATGCGTTGACTGCACACAACGAAAGACAGTCACATTGGATGACAAACTCCGGAAAGTCCCCTCTTCGTGGCCGCTTCTTGTCCCGACGCCCCCAAAGACACGTACACGCCGTGACAAACCAAACCACGAACCATTGAGAGAGTCACCCCGAAAAAAAAAAGCGGTTTTCCGGCAGACGGAGCCCAAGCACAATCCAGCAGCAACCAGAAACGGGGGCAATACTGCGCGGCCTTCTCCACTCCATTGTTTATTCCTGCTCGGTTTCATCTTGTCGCTCTCGCCTCCTCCCTAATAAAAATACACGTGCACACCGCTCGTCAGTCTTTCTCACCTTCTGCGGACCCCTTGGCTCCACCCGCCGCTCCCCCCGTTGCCGCTACCGCGGCAATCGCCCCTTCCCTCCCCTTCTTCCTGGCCTTGGCGCCCTTGCGCTTGTTCTCCCGCTTCGTTGCCGTCTTTGCGCTCCTCTTGGCGGCGGTTTTCGCTCGGCGGCTTCCCTCTGCGGCGGTTCGCTTCTCTTGGAAGACCTTGATGCGCTCCTGTGAGCGTTACCACCAACAGCAAGTATCAAGAGGGGGGGGGGGGGGGG